TCCCTCCATCCCTCCCTCCATCCATCCCTCCATCCCTCCATCCCTGCATCCCGGCTGCTGATGGTACCCCGGCCTGGCTGCATCCCTGCTGATGTCCTGGCACCCAGCACCCCCCAGCACCCCCCAGCACCTCCTGTGTCTGATCCAGCCCATAATAACCGCTCAGTGATGGGCCCTTCTGCTGTTGCCACAGCAACTCGGCAGCCCAGCCAAAACGGTGATGCTCTGGCCTCGCACGGGCAGGACCGACACCCCCACCAGGGGCACGGCCACCCCGAAACCCACCCCGGGGAGGGGCAGCGTGGCCCCACCGCAGGGAAACTGAGGCACCGTCCTGGCAGATCCCCCGAACGCCAGATGCCAGGACTCAGCCGGGCTAAAAATACCCTCCCGGGAGCGGTGGCGGAGCCGTGCAGGTGCGAGGCGCCGGCGGAGACGGACAGCTTGGCTGATGGGAGCTGACGCAGCCCCGGGCTCCGGCGCCACTTAATGAGCGGCCGAGGAGGTTTTATTTAAAGCCGGCGCTGGCTGCAGGACCCGCGTGGCCGGCAACGGACCGGGCAGTGGAGCTGCCGGTGGCCATGGGGCCGGGGCACGTTTCATCATCCCCTGGACTTGCCCTGAGCATCACTTGCCCGTCCACCCTTCCCCAAACCCAGCTCTGACCCCGAGCCCCAGATGGGCACCCAGGGGGTGATGCCCATCGCTGACCCCCTCTTCTTTACCAATGTCTTGTTCTAGGGGATTTTTGCCCCAAAACTGGGGCGGAGGGGACCTTCTTGTTGGGATGAGCTCCTTGCAGATAGGACATCTGCTACGGCAGAGGTAGGACATCTGCCACAGCAAAGAGAGCAGAGAAAGTTGGAGCAGGTGGGGGTGAGCATTGTTGGGGGGCTCAGCCATTGTTCCCTGCTCCTGGGCAGCCCCTTGCCAGCCTCTGGGCATGTCCTGGGGCATGAGATGCCCAACTCCAGCGCAGGCAGTGTTCCCTGCACAGGCGGTGGCTGAAGCAATTAGGGTGTAATTAGGTGAGGTTGATAATAATGACGCAGGCAGGGATGGTGGGCAGTGGTGGGGGGCACTGTGGGCTGGGTGCCATTGTCTGTCACCATGATGCCATGTCCTGGGCACTGTGTTCCCACCAGCACCTTGGTGCCGGGGACACTGTAATCCCTCTGTGACACCAGCAACATGGTGATCCCACGTCCAGGCACCCGTGAACCCCAGGACAGCCTGATCCTATGCCCCGGCACCCGTGAACCCCAGGACAGCCTGATCCCATGCCCAGGCACCCACCATTCCAGAAGCATCACCATCCCAAGGGCACTGCAATCCCATGCCCAGGCACCCATCATTCCAGGAGCATCACCATCCCAAGGGCACTGTGATCCCATGCCCAGGCACCCATCATCCCATGATCTCAGGGGCACCGTGACCCCCACGGCACCCATCATCCCATGATCTCAGGGGCACCCTGACCCCCACGCAAGAGCATGGTGCTCCCCACAGTGTCTCACACCCCAATGGCCCCTCATAGCCAGGCAGCGAGGAGAGCACCTCCAGCTCCCCCCCCAGCTGGCAGAGCTGCCGGTGGCACCGCTGGGGTTGTATTTAGCCACAGCTGAAGAGGGTGGGAGGGGGACTTTTAGGAAAATCCTTTTTTCTTGGTGCTGGCATCACCTCCCAGATGCGAGGGTCCCCCCCTAATCGCTGGAGGTCGTGATGGGATGCAGGGCACATAGGTGACCCGGCGTGGCAGGCACTGGGGGACAGTGCTCGGGGTGGCCAAGCCAGCACCGGTGTGCAGGTGCCCTCCCGTGGCTGGCACGGGAACGGTGGGTGCGCCCTCACCCACAGCCCCCCACCATGTGGGCACCCCTGGGGGGTGGGGACACGCAGCGGGGAGCTCCTCCCACGCAGGGGGACAGGGTTGCTACCAACCAGGGACACCCTGATGTTCCCCCCAGAAACACAGCCTCAGCCCGGGAAAAAAAATATAATTAATTTTTAATGAGCAATTCCAGCAGCCAAGGGGCTGGAAACCCCATGGGAACCCTGGGTGGGTCAGGGTACCCCATGGCACCTACTGGGGCTGAGCTGGGGCCCCACAGCACAGCCTCACCACTGTGGGGCTGAGCCCCCCAGCACCCAGCCAGTGGTGGACCGACCCCCACGGGCCCACTGGTGTGGTACCAAGCCTGGGGAGCACCCATTGGGGTCCGGGTGTGGGCCGTGGGAGGGCACCCCACAGCACCCAGCTGCCTCCCAGCACCCATCCCATAGGGAAGGTGCCCCATAGCACCCGGCTGCACGCTGCATCCCCCCTAAGGGGAGCGTGCCCTCAGTGTATGGGGGTCCTGGAGACCCCATGGTGCAGGGCACTCCATCAGCACACGGCCGTGTCCTCTTCCTCTTCTTCCTCCTCCTCATACTCCTTGTTCTCCTCATCCTCATCCTCACTATCGGGCAGTTGCCCCGGGGGGGCAGGGGGGAAGGGGGGGCCGCGCTCCAGGTTGATGTAGGTGACGGCCAGGTTGACGTAGTGCTCACCCTCCAGCGTGGCCAGGACACGCTTCAGCTCGCCCACCAGGCCCGTGAAGGATGGTCTCTCCTCGGGCGCCGGCGCCCAGCAGCTCAGCATCACCCCGTACCTGCCCCAACACCCCAGTCAGCACTGCCAGCCCCCCGGGGACCACCCCCCTTCCCTCTCCACCACCCTGCCCACCCCCCAGCCCCACTCACAGGGTGTCGGGGCCGTGGTGGGGCTGTGGCAGGCGGCTCCCCCCCAGCAGGG